TTTTTTTTTTTTTTTTTTTTTTTTTTGCGGGGAGAGGGGGGTGGGTTTGGTCTGGTGCTTTTTTAGCAAACTTGTGGACTATGGATGTATCTTTGATCTATTGCAATTTAAGTAATGTTTGCTATGTCTTAAAAAAAAAAATGTTTGCTATGTCTTGGTTGTTTGTTAATNGCACGGATACTCGTCGGGGGGTCGCCATGGCAGTGTTGGATACGTATCCGACACGGATACGCGTGGGACACTGCTTGACACGTGGCTGACACTTGTAGAAGTGTCCTGTACAGTAGATTTGAATTTTTCCTATTGGATATGACTTGAATATGTGGGGGATACGGGAGGGACATGATAGGGATACAGTGAGGCTATTTTTGTTATAAAGGGGTTGAAACCAGAAAAAAAAAAGGCAAAGCTACGTCGTAGTTTTGGTTTGAAAAAGAAAAAAACAAAAGGCAAAGTCACACGGTTGAGCCTTTCGACTTTTCAGTGTGTGAGAGAGAGAGAGAGGGAAGAGAACGAGGTCAAGGACAGCACCAGAGGAGGAGAAGGAAAGGAAAGAGGAAGATTAACCACTAACTGCGACCAACTATCTCCAAGTTCCTCTTGATGCTTCAATTTTTTTTTTTTCCAGATTTGTTGCGCTTCTTTTTTGTTATGATTTTCAGATCTTTTTTGTGTTACTTCTTCTGGTCTGTGGTGGACTTTCAAAAAATTTGATTAGGTTAATTTGATTGGGTTAGGGTTTTAGGGTTTTCAAATTTTAGGAGGTTTTTTTTTTTTTTTGTTGTGCAGTTATTTTTCTCTGTCTTCTTGCTGTGTTGTTGCCTTTTTTTTTTTTTTTTTGCGGGGAGAGGGGGGTGGGTTTGGTCTGGTGCTTTTTTAGCAAACTTGTGGACTATGGATGTATCTTTGATCTATTGCAATTTAAGTAATGTTTGCTATGTCTTAAAAAAAAAAATGTTTGCTATGTCTTGGTTGTTTGTTAATATTAATGTTGTTATATATATAAAAATATATATAATTATTTTAATTAGCCGTATCCTCGCCGTACTCGTGTCCTATATTTTGGAATTTTACTGTATTCCCGTGTTCGTATCGTATTTGATACAACACCCATGTCCGTATCCGTGCTTCTTCGATATCAACTAATGTATTCCTTACTCCTATGTATGATCAAAATACTGTGCAAAGTAAAATCAATGAGTTGTGTCACTATTTGTGCAATGTTTGATAGAAAATACTCTGATCAGCCTCCCCAAACGAAGCTTAACACACAAGCGAAAAAAGTTAAAGAAATAGAGATGAGTTTTGTAGTTGAAAATGAGATAACAATACCATTTTAAGATTGTTTTTGACTTTAAGATATCCATTGATTGCACTTATAGAACACTCGGTTGATGTGATCGAAGCACAATCTTCAATCAAAGCCTTTTTATATCCGAATCTTTACATTAAAAGAACAAAACCACACGTCAATTATCAAATGAAGCAGATTAATTCTTAACCCTAAACTCAACACGCAATGCACATACAAACAAAGAAAATCATTCTTAGAATAAAAAAAAAAAAAGAAACAACAAAGTTTATACCTCAATTCAAAAACAATTTAGGATACATACTTTTGTTATTGCTACTACAATCTTTGATTTCATTTGTGCTTTATAAGATAGACCATATTGTGTAGATTAAACCAGAGGATTTTAGAAGAGAGACCCATTCACCTTGTCTACCATCCGGTAGAGGAAGCCAAATATTAATGTTTGAATGGAAGGTCTCCAATTAATAGATGATACATTGATCATTGATGGAAAAGAATTCAGAGTCTATCGGTTTGTGGTATGAAAGAATGAAGAA